GGGAGGGCAGGGCAGGGCCGGGCAGGGCAGGCAGGGCAGGGAGGGGCGGTGCCGCCGCTCCGCTCCCCGGGGCTGGCCCGGCCCCGCCGCCGGCGCTCAAATCGGGCTCCGGCCGCGCCGCCCGGTAAGGGAGGGGCGCCGGAGCTCTTCGCCGCCCCGGGGCGGTGCGGCCGTGTGCGGCGATTCCGGGCGGCTCCTCCTGCGGCCGCTCCGCCGCGCCCCGCCGCCATTCCCCTGCGTTCGTCTGTCCGCCGTGCGTGGGAATTACCCGGGTGTAATCCTGTCTTCTCCCCACACTGCTTCCCCAGCGCTGCCTCCAGGCCATCCCTGAGTGAGGCTGGGATATCTCTGAAGGGGCTTCTGCAGCTGTTCTGGCGTGCAGTACTCTCGTGGCTGATGCTGGCGTACAGGTGAGGAGGTTCAGGTGCTGCTCCGTCACGGAGAGGTGGCCCTGCATCGCTTCTTGCTCCGACAGGATGCGTGGCAGCTTTTGGGGCATGGCTCATCTTCCTGAAGATCCCACTGTGACTGAGAATAGACCCTACCTGATGGGGCTGGTGCGTGAGGAGGGGTATGCCATGGAATGCTGCTTTTCCTAAATGGAGTAGAGCTTAATTGCTTGTCCGTTAAATTGTCTGGCTTAATGCCCCAGGCTAGCCTCAGGAAACTGGGACAGGATGGCTTTAAATAGTTCTTGGAGCCCTGCATCTCCCTGATAGTCACCGTGGCCTGTCCTTTGGTCAGAGATCTGTAAGTCGTTTTGATTTGTGCCTTTTGCTGTTCTGAGATGTATCAGCCCCCTGAGACAGACCTTCCTGTGAATTTCTAGAAACTGGTCTGTCATGTGTTACTTGTTTGCAAAACATCACCTCTGGTGTTAACAGTATCTGTCCGCTTTATCCCTAGTCTCCCTGCAGATTGTCCAGAATACAGGAGCTGCTTTGCCGCAGCTCTTGTGTGCCATTAGTGTGTCCTGAAAAAGCATCCCACCAACGAGCATGGGACCCTTCAGAGCTCATTAGTGAATCTGTGTGTTGTCCTAATTGCCTGCATGGCATCTAATCAATGGCTTACCAAGCTTTGCTTTGCAAGCTCCTTGCTGTTTAGAGAGACTTTTGGGGTCCTTCTGTCCGACTATGGTGTCAGTATTCTTCCTGGTGAAGTGAGTAAGGGACATTTGTGGCACATCTTTCACTGTAGCTGCTTTTCTCTTGTAGTCTGCAGGGACAGGAGTTGGCAGCTTTGCAGAATGCAGCTCTGTCTGGCACAGTCAGAATCCCTGATTTGTGCTGATGTGTGGTGAGAAAGATCCCTGGTGCACATGTCTCTGGAGAGTGGCAGGGTTCATCCCACTTTCTGGAATTTCTTACTGCAGCTGCTTTCCAGTACTTCTCCAGGTGGCTCCTGCCCCACCTGCAATGATCATAAATAACAACACAGCACTACTCTTCCTATACTGTAAACTGAAACAATAATTTTGTTGACCCTTATGTGCAGAGTTCTTGTGGCATCTACTCCCAGCTTAGGAATCTTTATACACACTGTCTAAACCTTGAAATCTTTTATGATATCTGAGTCTTACATTCTCGAGACAAGAGCATTATCAGGTACTAATTATTGCTGCATACATAAGAGGCCAAATTGCATGTATTTGGCATCTCAGAATTTGTTACTGCTTGTAGTTTTGTATCTTAAAAGTAGAAAACTGACAGTACATCCTGTTGGGCATTTCCCACTAGCTCTTCAAATAAGTGGTTAAAAACACCGTGGAGAGGGAAGAGTGTTGGAATGAAGGTTACGCATTACAATTTAGTTTAACCAGCTCTACTCGTGGATGAGTGTCTCTGAATGCCAAGTTGAGAGTCCAATTCAGGAGGAAACTGGGATTTAATTAAGAAAATGGTATGGGTACAGAAGCAGATGTGAACAAAAAAGGAAATTCAGACACAGGGAGCCATTCATGTTTTGATATGGAAGTTAAACAGACTGAAGTTGAGAACATTTTTCCATACAAGTAGCTTGACCAATAAGGAGTCATGGTTTAATTTGAAACCCAGGGAAAAAAATAAAATATCACAAAAATAATTGTACAGCAGCAACTTCCCAGTAGTGGTTCAAAACTTGGAAGCATAGGTAAAAAAATAGGAAAATTGAAGACCTTGAAAAGGATGGCTTATAAATTCCAATGGGATTTCCATTGTGGACTACAACTGGCAGAGTATTATAGTTTTTGAAATAACACAGACTAGACCTGAAACTTCTGCATGGAATTATTTGTGTGCTTTTGCAAGCAACAAGAGGGAGAATGGGACCTACTCTGGGAAGGATAAAACAGAGGTGCAGCAGTATTTTAATTCTTCCAGTACTTTTCTTTTAATTCTGTTCCCGAATTCATAATGTCTGCATGAAGCTATCAAATTTCATAATATTAAGGGTGACTAAATTCATAGCCCTGGTGTTTGCAGTGGAAATCTTCAAAAATATGAACTCTGAAGACTCAAGAAGAATTGTAGTGGAAGTATTTTAAAATTTTTCTGTAATATGAAAGTTGTAATACAAGTGTTACACAGAAAAATTACAAGAAATTGTAAAGTTATTTCCTGTTGTATATACCTGGCATAGGCCTGATTTACAAAAAGGTAAAGCACAATGTCATTTAAGTTTATAACCAGACTTCTTTATAAGCTATGTTTCCAGTTCCCTTTTCCTGTCATACTTAAGGGCCTCTACACTATTGGATTATGTTCTAATGGTCTCTAAGCTGTTATTTCCATATCTTCTTTCAGATTTGAGTTTAATATGAAGGGAAAATTCCTTTACATCCATATGCCTGTGTAGATATGAGATCTAGTGGCAGTATTTCAAGCACATAGACAATAAAATACTTGCCTCTTTGTTAAAATACTTTTTCTTGAAACACAGGAAATTAATTTTCTGATAAAATTTCATGGTAATGTAAATAAAAATTAGTCCTGCCTTGGATTTTCCAGCATAAAATCTGTGGCTTTTATCTTCAAAGCCATAACAAACTGTTCTGAATATTCCTTCTTTGTGTCTTGAAAGAATGAAGAAAATGTTTACATGCTTTATTTCGAATGTGTGTTTTAGCTTAATCTCATAGCAAGATTGGTGGTTTTTTTTTTTTTTTTTTTTTGGAATAAATGTACAAGTCTCTTTTTTTTTTTTTTTTTTTTTTTTATATTTGAGTTCACTAGTTTACTTTTTTTTTTTTTTTTTTTTTT